AAATTCTAAATCGTTAAAGAAAAGTCTGAGTTGAATTTATTGTAATTCATTTTCAATGAAAGAATAGATGGTAAATTTGAATGTTACGAGACACGAGTGGTGTGACTACCTAGTTTTGAGCAGTGCTAGGGGCACTCGCCCCTGCACTCTCCGGCCAACACTCCTCCTTTCATTGGGCCACGTTATTTTAGTTCGGCAAGAGGTTGCCCTTAAGAGCTTGAACAACCTTACGTGGTCCAATGAAAGAGGGAGTGTTGTCCAGAGAGTGCAGGAGGCGAGTGCCCGTAGTACTGCTCTCTAGTTTTACATCCGACAATTTCTCCTCGCCCCAATAAAATCCGCAATTTCAGAAGGCTACACCTGTACTGCAGCTTGCCCGTTCTTCTAGTAACGGTCGGCGAAATTAACAAAAATAACTTTATCCAATCCCAAAGCGTAACGTTGCAATTTTGTCCAGTGGTTTTCTTTTCTCAACGGTAATTTTAACGGAAAGAATATATACTTTACAGAATTGATTGTATATTAAAATATAATTTATTTTATATATTTATTTAAATAAATTTATATAATAAATTATACTTTTAATATATGATATTTTAAAAAAAAATTAAATATCTTTTAATGGTTATTTATTTGCTTTTTGCATCGTTATTGCAGCCAGAAGTCATCGCAGGAACAGACAACGACAACATCTCCGTCGATCAATGGAACTGGCGGCACCGGCACGATGACATATGAGGGTGTTTCATCTTTAGATGGAAGTGGCGCATCACGTTCCACTTGGACGCACTTGTCGGGATCACATGCGATCGTCGGTGCAATCAGCATTACTGTGGCGCTTTGGCAGTTGCTGTAGAGTAGTCGGCTAACTTTCATTGTTTTAGGGTAGTCCTGCTTAACATTTTGAGCCAATTAGGGGAAGTATCCGTTTTCACTTTTCAACCGTGGACCCGACCCTATTCTGTCTGTCTGTTTTCATGTATGGGCCTAGTAACATAGCGTAGGGCGCCCAAGACTTAGGATATTGGGCCATGGGGGACGTGGAATCGAGTCAGAACAGAAAAGGGCTTCCCATCCGTTGATGGCTACTGGCTACTGCTCTACTGTTTCACCCAATTCCGCTATAAAATCCAAAGCACAAGTTGTGGTGTGCAAGTCAGTGGGCAATTGGCAGTAGACATTAAAACTTAGTTCTTTAGTTTAAGGAAATGGATTGTCTTAGTATTTACTAGAGTACTTTAGATTAATTTTTATTACATGTAACGCTGAAAGGGCAGGGAGATTATATTCTATTATCGATTCTAGAATTTGTAATAACCACTATCACATTAGATGTTAGAGAATAAAATTTTTACTTTTAAAAAACTATGAGTAAAGAACTTTATCCTGATTGTTTGTGTCTTTGGGTCTTTTTCGTTCAATTAAAAAGAGAATGGCAACTTGGCAAAAACAAAAATGAATTGCCAACGAAGTGCTAGTCTATCGTTAAAGTGAGGTGCTTATACCCTTTTATATTAATTATTTTGTAGTTAAAATGTTATTAGTTTATATTAATTAAAATTATATGTGATGTCGTATGTGAAAAGGATAGAGTAGAAATGGAATATATAGATAATATAAAATAAAATGGTGGCCTTAAATGCGTGGATGGTGATGCTTGCGATGACGATGAAGCCAGCTTCTCAGTTGGGATCGTAGGAGGTCATATGGAACTATCGATTATTCGATCTACCGAGCATCAACTACAAATATATAAAGCCTCTTTTTTTGTTTGACTGTAGGGAAGTTTTGGGGGCCCTTATCGCCACTAGTATAAGTGGGAAGGCCACCAACAGTCTATTTTTCATTTTAAAAAATAATATTTTTATTTTATAGTTTAAATTATTTAAAACTGTAAAACAAGAATTATTTGATAAAAAAAAACTCCTAACATCAAAGTTCCTCTTATATCAAATGGTTAGTATTTTATAATTTAAAACAATTTAAACTCTAAAATATTTTTTTATTAAAAAAATTACTTACTTATTAATTTAATTAATTAAGGACACATATATATTTCTAATTTTACCCACTTTTGTTCATTTTGCAAATAAGTAAAGGTGGGAAAGGAAACAAAAATGGACAATAGTCGGTAAAGTTGAAAATATATGTCTGTCCTTAAATTACATGGATTAATAAATAAATTCTCTAAAGTCTAAACAAAGTGATTGACCGTTGGTGACTTTAACACTTATAATGGTGGCCATAATTGGGGCCATGTTTTGGAGTTGGCTTTACTACGTGGAAAATAATTCCTGATCTATTTTTCTTCTTTGTTATTTACTGTTATGGTATCTCAAGATTCATTTTTATATATTTAAAGATTAATTTTTTTCAGACAATTCTAAAACTGCATTTCTCATGTTAGTTTAAGTTTTAGTGCATGGAATTTATAAAATTAATTTTATTGGATGTTAATTTTAAAACTTAAATCTCAAACCTAGCATACAAGATTAGGGGATGGTTAGAAAGAAAAAGGTAAAAAATTTTGAAACCGACCAAAACAATAATCAACAAGTTAGGTTTAACTAAGTTTTGAGTTTTTTTTTTTTTTTGAATAAAAATCAAATTAATCTGATCTCGAATGGTTTGGATTATAGTTGTTAAGTATGAAAACCAGAAACGGATGAGTCTGGTGCCTCAATCGTGTATTATTAATAAATCCTCCTGTTTTAAAAATTTTTAATGGTGCAATAAATCTATTCTTTTACCATTAATTTAGAGAAGAAATTTACTTATACACAAGTTTTACACATCACACTTATGTAAAATTTTAATAATTCATCTTTTCACTTTTAATGTTGAGATTTATCATGATTTTTTAGATGAAAAAGATAATTACTTTTAATAAATGTGAGTAAATCTGAATTATTGAAAGTAAAAAGATGAATTATTGAAATATTGTGTAAGTGTAGTATATAAAATTTGTATGTAAATGAATTACTACTAATTAATTTATATAAAGAGGCTCAAAAGTTGACATTTATTTTTGCTAATGAAATAAAACTAAGAATCTACTTACATGTAAGTTTTACACACACTACATTTATACAAAATTTCAACTATTCATTTCTTCACTTTCAATTATTAAAATTTACTCATATTTATTAAAGATAATTATTTGTTATTTAAAAAGTCGTAAAAATTAACATTGAAAGTAGATAAATGAGTGGGCAAGATTGTATATAAGTAAAGCATGCAAGACTTTCTATAAATAAATCCTTCCCATGAAATAAATCCTCCACATGAATAATTTTAATTTATTACTTGATTAAATTAAAATTAATATTTATATTTTTCATACAAATTAATTAAAACATATAATAAATACGAGGGATTCACTTTTATAAAATTCTTATGTTTCGCTTTTACATAAAATCTCAACTATATATTCATTTTTTTACTTTTAATGATAGTGATTTATTAAAATTTTTTAAATAAATAAAAAATAATTATTTTTAATAAATATAAATAAATGTTAACTATTAAAAATAAAAAATAATTATAATTTTATATAAATATAATATATAAAAATTTTATGTAAATAAATTCCTTTTCATAAATATATTGTTAGATTTTACCATTTAGGCACCTAATTCTAGCAGCTTTATATGTTGCGCGGGGGCTGCGTATGTTTATTTTACGCCCTTTTTCAATTGGGCGAGAGAGAGAGTTGAATTTGAAGACAATTTCCTTCCTCGATGGGACACAGTTGAATTTGAGGGCCGTTTCCTTCCTCAGACAAAGACGGGTTTCAGTGTGGCTGCTGTGCACGTATGATGTCTGTGGTTTGAAATCAAACAATATTTGGTAGGCCTTCTGACTCATCTGTTGCAACTGATGATGAAAAACAATTTTGGCCGGCGTGTTTTCATTCGGCAGCAAATTGTACAGGTAGATTTTCAAAGGTGTGTGAGAATGGATAGGAGATTCCGGCACGTTTTTTTTTAATTTGATGTAAAATTGTTCAGCGGACAACAATTTTGTTTTTATTGTTTTAAGATATAAATATAATTATAAAATTGTTTAACACGTGTTTTTTTTTTAAAGTAATTATTCAATACACCTTTTCATTATGGAAAGAAAACATTTTGCCCTTTTCGGACTTGGAGGAGGTGCAGGTCAGATCTTGTTAAGAAACTCGCTGTAGGGTAAAATTATTAGTTGAAGTTTTATGTTTTTTAGTTTGCATTGCCATGCAGTTCGAATATTGAAATTGTTAAATTATAATTAATAAACAAACGTAATGAAATGTTTTATTAAGAATATGTTAGTAATTTTAATGTCCTAATTACATTTTTATGTGCAATTTAACTAAAAAATTCTTTTTTATTAGTTATTAGTATATTTTATTTTTTATAAAAAATTCAAGATTCAAAATTTAAAAGAGAGAGAGAGAGAGAGAAATCCACTTATTTAGTGGAAAATGAAAACATAAAGAGTAACTGTTTGAAACCTACTCATTTAAGTGGAAAAATGAAAACATAAACAGTAATTATTTGAAAGTATTGTGGACAATGCTCTTTCTTACAATATTAGGGTGAAATAAGTACTTTTTTATCATAAATTATTTAATTTATTAATTATTTAATTAAATTCATTCACTTAATAACTAATTAATTATACTAAACTTAGTATCAATTTTTATATTTTTTTATCCATATTTATAATGAAATGATATTCTTAACATATACTCTAAAGCACAAAAGATTAAAACACAAATTAAAGAAATTATATAAAAATATAAATTTGTTTATGTATTAAAATAATAATTAATTGTAATGTATGAAAAGGACAAAAGAACCCTGCTACAAATCAATTTTGGAAACTAAGGGCAGTCACGGACTCACGGGTTTCTAGGTTTACATGGGCGGCTGCTGGGTCATGGACTTCAATGTGATATCTGGGCCTTAACATAATATCAGGCTTATATTGGGCCGGATTTATAGAAATGTATACACTTCAGTAGAAGTCTTTACTACAAGCCTGCAGGACTGCACTAGATTCTATCGATTAAAGGATGAAAAATTTGTTCCCAAAAAAAAAAAAAAAAGATGAAAAATTTGACGAAGGAATTAGTCTTTTAGGTTCATTAAACAGCGGAAGAAACAAATACCATTAACTCCTTACAGTACTTCTTTTATAGGATAACTTTTGACTTTTCAGTTTTTCACTTTTCCAAGAGATAAAAATGGGGTGGAAATGGCAGAATCAAATCTCTTCCTGAGAAGCTAGCAGTCTCTATTACTTTTGGCAAACTTTTGTCGCAAAATTTGCATCCACGTCATGTTACTCTCTCTTTTTAGACCTTTTTTCCACGATGTTCAATTAAACTAGTACAATGCTATTATAAAAAATAAAAAATAAAAAAAAAGGAGGAAGTAAAGAAAACTTTATTTATATGCATCCAAAATACGAAAAGACAATCCTCCAGAAAAAGGTGTTTATATATACATGCACGTGTCATATATATGTCCCATGAGGCACTTAAATTTCTACATTATCAGTCATCATTCTACTCATTTCCACGAAATGACCCCCTTGTGATCTTTAGTGCGGAAAGGTATGTTCTTTAGTCCGTATCTACTAAACCCGACACGTCAACATGACCCAATCTGCTTCTTCTAGTAATTAGGAAGATAATATTGACTGCTCTAACAAAAACGTAATATAATGTGATACTAAAAACAAGGGACAAAAAGTGATCATTTTTGCTTTAGAGGTTTAATTAAATCAATATATATGGGTCCTGGTAGTGTCTATCTAACGCAAATCTTCAATAAAGATCAAATGCATGGAAAGAAAAGAAGGGAAAAGTAGAGTTTAAAGAGTAAAATTTATCCCAAAATTTTACTTTACACGATGGACAACAAATGTCAAAGTTGTAGATTTGTTCAACAATTATTAATTTGTGGGCCTCAATTCAAACACATTGCCTGGTAGACATTTCACTTTCAGTGTTTTACCATGTTATCGTCAAGTTCAATATATCTAGTCATTCGTGCACGACGTGTTTTACCACGTGGTCGACCATGCGTCTACCTGACCATGCAATGCATTAGTTTTCTTAATGGATAATCTAGTTGTAATTACAAGATATAGAAAGCAAGTAGCTTGTTCTTCCCCCTTTCTTTCTTTTGACAGTTGACAAAAAGTAAATCCATCCGTTGGCACAGGCTGATCTGGTTTTCTCAGTTAATGTGGAAATGTTGCAATCTACCACATCAGGTTGGAAAGAAACAAAAGAATCCATGCGCCATCATATTTTCAACTTTCAAGACAGAAAAAAGTGTGTGAAGATGTTTGTTTTGATGTGAGGCACAAAATCTTTAGGATTGCTAAGCCTAATTCCTCTTATTTGTCTGGTATGCAATTATCTGGTTACTTTGGTTAGCAGGGAATACTGCAATTTTTGGTGAAGGCAAAATGACTATAGATTGTGTGCTCAAAATGATACAAAACCAAACCTATCTTTGGATAAGTGGAAACTCAGAAGGTTGGCCTTATTCCTTTCTTGACTGATACCAAAAACCAAGCAACTGCTTTATAACAAAACCATGTAAAAATTTTTAGCCTATTGGTGCTAATTCACTAATAAATCTTTTTTCTATGTCTATGGGTTGAGTACCCTTGTACTCTTTTAATAAAACTATTTCCTTTGGCTTTTCAAAAAAAAAAAAATCCTCTTATTTGGGTACATTTGTTGCTTTAAAGTGGGGTATTATAAGACTAATTCAAATTTGAAGTACTAGACTACTGAGTTTTATTCATTGTAACAGTGACAAGTCATTGTTAAGTTTTGTATGCAAATAATTTTTTGTATAAATAAAATTTTAAATGTTATCTAAAAAAATTTTAAATTAATCTTAATTTTTGTTTCTGACATTGTCATTCACATAACTCCATTGCATGTTTCACTAGCAAATAAGTGGCTGAACTTATATTGTTGTGAATAATTACGTTCTTTCTAGTTATCTTTATTCTTTTATCAAAAAAGCTGATTAATGATCTAGTCATATTATTTGCTTAGCTAATTAAAAGTCTTCTGCATATAAAACTTTGATTTATTAATATTTACGTCTTTAAATTTCAGATGGTATTGGCAGGATTAGGATTTATTAAGCTTGGGCGGCGTTGGTGCAAATGAAAAGGGAGTTGAAACTCGATGTATATCGACAATTCCACACAATCATGACACACACAAAAGCACATGAGCCACCAAATTAAAGCCTCCACTTTTTGACATGCAACGTAGGCAATTCACTTTCCCCACACGGCCACACCATCGTCACATGCTACCTCCTCCAGGCTGCAGCCACCCTACCTTGAAAAACATTTATCAATTTTTACCTTTTAAAAAAAAAAAATTTTTTTTACTGGTAGAGAGGCAGAAATAAATCAGAGCAATCACGTATCCAAAATGCTAAAAATACAATGTTAGTGGACATAGTATTATAGATTTTTAATATAATGTATTATTATATAATTTAATTTTTTATTTTAAAATTTATTTATAATATTATATATTTATATTTTATTTATATATTTAAAGTCCAATGAAATTTATATTATATTAATTTCATATAATATTATAATTATAATATTAGTCATCGTTATAAAAGAAGCTGGGCTACGCATAATCGAGTGCTTTCCGCGCCACCACGTACGCGTCGACGTGGATTGCTAATTTTTAATCCATGAAGCAAAGTCGGTCGCTAGTCCCTTTAAGGCTTTAATTGTTCGGGCCCCAGGTCCTATCCAAGTATCATTCGGGCCTAAGCCCAGTTCTAATTTTACTTCAACGCAAAAACAAAATTAAATCTATTAAAATATATAATGTAATACAGTCTAATTATAAATTTATTTTTTTTATGGATAAAATAATTTTTTAAACAAAATATGATAGCAATTGTTTTTAAAAAGATTAACTTTGTGTTTGGAGAGTAACAGATTACTGCACGGCGGAAATGGTGGATCCGGCGGCAGGCGGTCAGGTTAAGTAGCTGCCGCCGATAGCAACTGAACCCATGTTTACCGGGTACGACAACCCACATTGAGTAGACACGTCTCAAACTGAGAAGAATACCAGCTATGGTACCACCGTCCCACGTGTTAGTCATTTAAGTCTCTAATTTTCCCTCCATATCGTTTCTTTTTTCTTTTACTTTATTTATTTATTTATTTATTTTTATTTTTTTTATTGAGGAAACATCCATTTCGTTTCTTAAAGGGCATAGTTAATGAATATTTAACTTGATTTTCTTTTTCCTATCTGCTTCTCTTTATTTTCTTTAACCTCCAATATTATTGAATGAATCTTGGCAAAGACCGATGGATCTTGCAAAATTTTGTTTTAGCAGGATTGTGAAAGACATACAATAATTTTAAATATAAAAATAGATAATAAAATATGACTTCCTATTATATAATTAAGTTTTTTATTTGAAAGTTATATATAATATTATATATATTTATTTAATTAATATAACATTTATTGTATTTTTTTAATGTAGAAACAAGAAAATAAATCTTATAAATATTATTAAAAATACAAGTAACTTTATTATCAAATTATATAACTAATAATCGTTTATTGTAACATTATACTTATAACATTATTGGTTGCGAAACTTGCACGCATATGTGTGGATCTATCTCAATTTTCTAATACAATGAATGGAAATTAACAATTCCTTCTAAAATGTGAACTAACTGAATGTCGTGGCACAAATCATAGTAAGCTTTTGTTAATGGAAGCTTTGAAAATTATATTTTTTATGTTCGATTTCAAAAGATTTTTGGAATCTGATTCCCATATGGAGGAAAGTTGCGAAGAAAACAACATCCAATTATTGAAACATGTATGTTAAGAGATTCTTGGCCATTTTCTTCAAACACGTTTGTTAGGTGTATAAGTTGAAGCAGATCAAAGACCTAAAATATGCTAGCTAGCAAAATTCATTTGTAGATCCTTCAACGAAGCAATCCCTGTTTCTTAGAAAGGGGACAATATATTCCTCAATTGACTTTAGTGCATATAGTTTGAAATATAATTACGGTAGTCATTTTTCCTGGATTTCCTTCAACTTAAAGAACTATAGTTTGCGTGATGTTTACGAGTTCGCTTATCTGTAGTTTCCTTTTTTTGCAATTACAATAACAACTACTTATGCCAGTTACTGTAATTGACTTTTTTTAATTAAAAATTAATTGTTTGATAGTATACAAATTTTAAACTTAAACTAAAATATTTAAATTATTGGATAGCAACGAGCTCTGCAAAGTTTGATTTGGTTAGTTATCTCATTTTTTTTATAAGGAGGAATCGATGGCTTGCTTGAAATGTTGACTGGTGTAGTAAAATAAACAGCTTTCCGCTTCACTGTACCAAATAGTTCCATCTACAGGCTATATATATAGATAGACCAAGTGCACCACATCTGGCACCACAATTTCTTTCCACTCCTCTCTTTATTCTTCTTAGAATCAACATATTCGACAACCAATTAATGCACATCCCGCCTCTCCTTAAGAGAAAGAATTAATAACAATCTTCAACCCCAATATATATCATTTTCTCCCAATGGATTCAATCTTCTCTGCCACTTCTACCTTATTCATCAGCTTCACTTTGGGCTGCATTTTCTCAGGTGTTGCAGGTGCCACGTTTAATATAATCAACAAATGCGATTATACGGTGTGGCCGGGGACTCTCGGCAATACCCAGTTAGATAGTACCGGGTTTGAACTGCCGTCTGGAGGGTCCCGATCATTGCAAGCCCCTCCCAACTGGTCTGGTAGATTCTGGGGCAGAACAGGGTGCACGTCGGATCCCACCACCGGTCAGCTTACTTGTCTCACTGGCGACTGCAGGTCCAACCAACTCGAATGCAATGGCAACGCTGCAAGCCCGCCCGCCACCCTAGCAGAGTTCACAATAGGGTCAGGCACCCAGGACTTCTATGACGTCAGCTTAGTCGACGGGTATAATCTTCCTATGATCGTCGAGCCAAGTGGCGGGTCGGGTACATGCCAGCCGACCGGGTGCGTGAACGACTTGAACCGGATGTGCCCGAAAGAATTAAGGGTGGGATCGGGCGACGCCTGCAAGAGTGCATGCGACGCTTTTGGGAATCCCGAGTATTGTTGCAGCGGCGCGTATGGTTCACCCGCCACCTGTAAGCCGTCAATGTACTCGGAAATTTTCAAATCGGCTTGTCCCAGATCCTATAGCTACGCCTACGACGACGCCACAAGCACGTTTACTTGTACCGGCGCCGACTATACCATTACATTCTGCCCTTCATCAACAAGGTAAGGATAAAATTATCAGAAATTTTGCATTATCTGAAAAGGTTTTTGAAGGTTTATCTGCTTCACTTTTGTTTATAAACTTTTCCATCCACGTACTTGCTTTAGTATGGCAGAAGCTAATTTCGATTCCAAAGAACTGCTATTAATTTAAAGGTTAAGATATCAATTTGATGCCTCAACTTTTAGATTTGTATTAATATATCCTCAAATTTCATAAAGTATGAAAATTATTCACAAACTTTAATTTATAATATCAAAATAGTTCTCAAACTTTGAAAATAATATCAATTTAGTCTTTAAACTTTAAAGAAAGTATCAACTTAGTTCTTAAATTTTAATTATAAATACTTATTTGATTTTTTAACTTTAATTATATATCAATATGAAATGTAAAAAAAATATATTACAATAACAAAATACAATTATATGATTTTACATGTCATTAGTATTTTAAAAAAGAATTGATTTTATGACAAAATAACAAATTATGTGATGTTTTTATTAACGAAAAAACTTTTTTAGTATTAAAAATTAAAATTTAGAAATAATTTTAGTATAAATGTAAAAGTTGAGGGACCAAATTAATATTTTAACCTAATTCGAATTATATTAAATTATAAAATAAAAATTATTACATAGAAAAAAATTTTAATTTAAAAAATTTTTTATTTATTAATTTAAATTAAACAAGTTAATATAATTTAACTACACAATATTTATTATTTTCAAATTTTATAAGTTTATGGTTTGAGAAAAATATGGTGATATGACATTTTATTTTATTTTTTTCATACAGTCAAAAATCTTCCAGCAGTACACCACCGGAAACAACCAGCACGACTAATGAATCGGGTGGGTCAGCAACGGCTTCCACGGAGGAGCCATCCGGGGCTATGAGTTCATGGCTAACGGATTATGTCTTTGCAGGCTCCTCCAGGACACTTTCCGGCTCTGTTCTTTACACCACATTGTTATCTAGCTTAATTTCCCATCTCTTTCTCTCAGCATGTTATTCATAATTTTCAATTTTGCTGAATTGGAAAATCGGGTCGGTTCGGATCGGGTCCTGCTTTAGGCCCAATTTTCCCAGCCATTGTATAGATTATTTGTAACTTTAGACTTCTTTAACTATTTTTAGTTCTTTTGAAATTGTTGTGCTTTTGAGAATAGTTGTACTCCAATAACAACATATAAGAAAAATATACATTTTTGATAAGTTTGAAACTACTTTTATACCTGTATTCTTGCATAAATTGACAGTGGAAATAGTGTAATAGTTAGTAATATATCTTAAATTGCTTGATCTATGTACAACTTGTATATAATTTGGGATTTTGGCTTTTCTTTGAGCATTCTAATTTCTATAGGATATCTTGGATGAGATTCTGATGATAAAAAAAGTGCTGCTTTATTGTGAATCTGAGTAAAACAGTTGGTGCTTAGCTTGGTGAGTACCTCTGCTAAAAGGAAGAAATGATCACCAACTTTGCTGGAATTGCAAGCTTGGTAGTTTGGTGATTTAGATTTTGGCTTTAATGAGTAGTGTAGCTATATTATGGTGTTCAAGAGAAAATGTCATTCTCCCATCATTTTCTCTTCAAAACCTTTTGGTTTGAAAAAGTCCTCTGTTGACTCAATGTACTCCAAGAGGGGGGGTGAATTGGAGTTCTAAAAATTCTCCCCTTTTGCAACCACAACACCCAAATTAAAGAGAGTAGAGAAGAAGAGCTTGCTCAATGATTTATAGAGGTTCGGTCCAACCACTTGGAACCTAGTCCTCTACATTGGCTTCACTCACCAAGGATTTCCTCCACATTCTTCACTAACAACAACAAGGGTGGCTTAAAGGAGCCACTCAATCCTTTTACAACAAGATGAGTATTTCTCTCAAACCTCACCCCTTTACAATGTAAATCCCACAAATCCTCTCAATAGATCACTCTTGAAGGAATCAACACACCCCCAAGATCACTCACTAATAGCACAAGAAGATGATTACAAATAAAGATCTCTCAAATATCAAAATCTCAAGTCAAAGCTCATGTAGGTAGGTAAAGATATTCAATACAATACTCTCTAAACTTCTTCAGATCTGTTGCCAACCATATTTATAGTCCTTTGCTCGAAAATAGCCGTTGGGGGTTATTAAATACCCTGCAGGACGCGAAACTTGAGTTGCAAGATTGTCAGGAGAGCCGGCTTAACTTCCTAAAGCCGGCTCTATACAGCCGGCTCACATTTTCTGCAGCCGGCTCTGAGGGTTTCCTGCATTCTGTTTTCTCCGTAGAGCCGGCTTAGAAATTCTACAACCGGCTTTGCGGGATTCCTACACATTCTGTTTTCTTTCACAGCCGGCTGCAAAGCCTAGAGCCGGCTTTGGGATTCCAACTTTAAACACATTAAATAATCTTCAAATAACTCGACCGTTGTGCATTAAATGCACCCTCAAAGCCGGCTACAAAGTTGAAGCTGGCTTTGCGTCTTTTCTCCGCGCACGCCAAACAACTTGCTTGTAACTTTTTACCCGTAGAGTCGGCTTCATGTTTCAGAGCCGACTCTCTGCACTTCAACAGCCGACTGCAACTTTCAAAAGCCGACTCTCTGCACATTCTCAAGCCTTTTGGTCCATTTCTAGTGCAGTCCAAGTTTACTAATTTTGCAATTTTTAGCAACTTAACTACACACTTAAATAAACCAATTAGTCACTCAAATGTGTTTTGTAATTATCAAAATCATAGTTACAACATCCTCGACAGTCTAGTGGTTGTCTACTTCACTGTAAGGACATTCTTATATAAGTGAAGGTGTAAGATTCGAATTCTACTTTTGTGTTAAAAAATAAAAATAAAAATAAAAAAGAAACCTTTTTGTCTGTGTTGAGCTATTGGCATTTCAATATCCCAATCCCCATGAGTTCAAAGTAATTATCAATTAATCATTAAAAGAGGATGGTACCAAGAGAAAATGAGGAAGGAGGATAATTGAAAGTGTTAATTACTTGAGTTTGAATACTACCGAAGATGTTGAGTTTGTTAAATTTTTTCAAGTTTATAATTACACCCTATTTTATAAGAAAACAAGCAGTTGATAATTAAGAGAAAATTAAGGAAGTTTCTATTGTTTAGAGGTGCGATGCAATGCTTTTCATGAAGTGTGGTCTAATTCCATTGCAAACTAACGTGTAGGCAACAAAAGAAAGTATTTCGTATACTTTCACTTTGTGGGCAATGAAGCTTCCATGTGTAATGCTTGCAAGAGAATAATTCCTTGTTTAATTTTGTCACAAATGACTTGTAATTGTGGAGATTGAAAGAGGGGAATTTAGCCTAAAGTGCACAAACTTGATCAAGACATATAGCAATAGAATTCCTTTTTTGGTTCCTTGATTGGAATAATTCCTTAGTTTCGTCTTAGATGACTTGGCTGGCGTAACTTTTTGATTACCATGGGCTGTGGTTAAAAGAGGATGTTTCCTAAAAATATTTTGACTCTTGCTTTAGAATGAAAAGGTGCCATTAAGAGTCTCCCTTTCGAGTGGGTTGTGAGCGGTCAGCATTCAGCAAAAGGGGCAAACTAGCATAAAATGGAAATGTACCACACTTGACTTCGCCTATTTTTTGAATAAACAAAGAAACTTCCAATAGTCTTTCTCTCTATAGAATCTGCGTTTTTTAATGCGGGAAAGAAGTGGAGTGGTCCAAAACTGAAGTCCCAATTGCTTCAAGATAGGAAGAATTTGACCCTCGTGTCACAAACGGTAACCGATTAAAGAAGCCACAAAAATGGGTCAAATCAAAGTGGAAAAAAAAATGGTGCGGGTTGGGGGAGGGGGGTAAAAATATAAAGTAAATTTTTTTTTTTTTGGCATATTGGAGGATTAACTGCCTAGTAACACAAGAATTTCAACTT